ACCTATAGATTACAGAAAACTCTTGCGAAAGACCATACGATTGATCTTGGTAATCTTAAATGTCATGATGAAGGTTTTACCAAATCTCCCTCTGAAACTTTAAATTTAATGATGGAAACACATTTTCCAGGTTCGGTATTGTGTGTGGAATCAGATATTTCTGATTCTGATTTCGCCAATGTCTCAGAGAACAGAAAACACCGTAGCAAATATTTTTTTTTTTGTAATTACTTTATTTGTACAGGCTCAATCGAACAAACTTTACAGAGCCGAGTTATCCTTTGGGTTATACATTATTACTGTCTTATATTTAAAGTTAAAGGAACTGGACCGAGTACTCGCGGTCGTCTCGAGGTTAGTGGAGATTTACATTTTTTTGGATGGGAAAAGGGAAGAAGGAGGTTTTAAATGTGGTTTACGATACAACTATTTAATTAATCCTAAAGCATGAGATTATTTCTATTCATCTTGATTAATCAAACTTACAATCTAAGGTTAATATCCTTAAAGTAAACATATATGAGTTTCATAAACTCCAGATCGCGTCTAGCCAAAATATCCCGAACTGGAACATTAGGTTGTCTACCTCGAGCCCGAAGGGAATCATAAAAATGTGATCTGACTCCACGATACTCCGCACAAGACCAAAGGATGTGATCAGCGTCCTGGTAACCTTGTCCACATTCACAGAGATTGCTGTCTCCCAACCCTACACGGAACAAGTGAGCGTTTAGACAATAGTGATTGGACATGAGACGAGACATCACGCGTATGAAGTCTCGACTCAAGTCCAACCCTTTGAACCATGCAAACTTCGACACCTTAGGGATAATTGAATGTAGCCATCGTCCCAAGCTCCCTTCACTCCATTGATGTTGCCAGCTAACGAGCGACTGCTGACGATAAATAGAGAAAAATTCACTATAGGCGATCTGTCGATCATAAATGTCGCCTTCCATAGCGCCCACCTTCGCAAGTGAATCCGCCTTCTCATTGCCCAAAATTGAGCAATGCGAAGGGACCCACGCGAAGGTGATGATGAAAGAGCGCACGGATAAAGCACTAAGCAGTTCTCGTATTTTCAAAAGAAAACTGAACAGAACTGAGACTATCCGTAAAAATAAAGTAGTGGTGTGGAAGAAGTGAAGCAATAGTTTCCAAAGTGTAGTGAATTGCTGCCAGTTCAGCCACATAGACAGAACAAGAAGCTTCAAGTTTCCGAGGGGCGCTATGAAATTCATTAAATACACCAAAACCAGCGGACTCCTCTATTAGAGATCCATCTGTGAAAAACGTTTTTGCAGAATCAATATGGCCAAACTTTGCAGCGTATAATGACGGAGCAATCATAGGACGATGATGCTCTGGAATTCCGCGGATTTCCTGCGTCATAGATAAATCAAAATTCACTGAATTGCCGAAATCGGAGAAGACTACACGATTGGGAATATTTCTTGAAGGGCTGACATCCTGTGTTAAATATAGGTAGTACAAAGTCATAAAACATGTTTGAGGATTTAGCTCCAGAGGCTTCTCAAAATTTTCGATCACCAGTGGGTTAATTACTTCGCAATGGGTGAGGAGCCTCAGAGATAACTCTGAAAAACGGACGGATAGTGGCAACATGCCCGCCAGCACTTCGAGACTCATAGTAAAGGGTGATACGGTCAAAATTTGGTCAATATCAACTTGACGTATTTCTTTCAATTTTGCATTTAAAAAACCTGAACACCCATCATTTTGAAGGTGTGTGTGTGTAGAATGTTGCTCCTATTTTGATTTTGGAATTCACTCTTCAGTTGTCAAAATGCCGTCCAAGCAAGAAGAGCAGCGTATCAAAATTTTGCTCGCGCATCGCGAAAATCCGAGCCAGGAAGTCTGGATCGGGGGGAAATCGAAAACCGGAAGCCGCTGAGACGACAAAGAGAGTTGCCGGTAGTTTCAAGCGAAACCCTAACCTCTCTCTCCGAGATGCCGCAAATAAGCTGGGTGTATCGTCTACAACCGTGCATCGAGCCAAAAAACGAGCCGGACTATCGACTTATAAGAAGGTAGTGACTCCAAATCGCGATGATAAACAAAATACGACGGCCAAAGCGCGATCCCGGAGGCTGTACACGACGATGCTGACGAAGTTTGACTGCGTGGTAATGGACGACGAAACCTACGTCAAAGCCGACTACAAGCAGCTTCCGGGACAGGAGTTTTATACGGCAAAAGGAAGGGGAAAGGTAGCAGATGTTTTCAAGCACATGAAACTGTCAAAGTTCGCAAAGAAATATCTGGTTTGGCAAGCCATCTGTACCTGTGGCTTGAAAAGCAGCATTTTCATAGCTTCCGGGACTGTCAACCAAGAAATTTACGTGAAAGAGTGTTTGAATAAACGTCTGCTGCCTTTCCTGAAGAAACACGGTTGTTCCGTACTGTTTTGGCCGGATTTGGCATCTTGCCATTACGATAAAAAGGCCATGGAGTGGTACGCCGCCAACAACGTGCAGGTGGTTCCCAAGGACAAGAACCCTCCCAACACGCCAGAGCTCCGCCAAATTGAGAAATACTGGGCTATTGTCAAGCGGAACCTAAAGAAGACCAAAAAAACTGCTAAGGGCGAGCAGCAGTTCAAGGCAAACTGGTTTCTGCGGCGAAGAAGGTGGACAAGGTGGCTGTACAAAATCTGATGGCAGGGGTCAAGCGTAAGGCCCGGCAATTCGGATTTGGAAAAGCGGAAGCCTAACTGAATATTTTTTCCTGAATTTTATACTAATTGAACTTGAAAAAGAAATTTAATTTGATTTTTTAAATAAACGATTTCACCGATTTACACGCGTTTTCCCTTGACCAAATTTTGACCGTATCACCCTTTAATCTGCTACCATTAGAGGATGGACCAACCAAACGTGTTACTTCTCCATTGTTAAGGATTGTCATGTTGAAGTTGTCGCAGAGATCATAAATCAAAGTAGACCGGTTATCATCGTACAGCTCCCCCCACCATAGCAAATATAGCTGATGAAATTTTCACAATTGCCAGAGTGGAGAATGCTGTGAGATCTTTTCAGCATCTTAAATCTGCGGGTGTGGATGGCATATTCCCGGTACTACTTCAAACCGGTGAAGCAATGCTGATTCCGTCTCTAACTAAGATTTATAAGGCGAGTTTAAGATTAAACTACATTCCTTCAAAATGGAGATTGGTAAGAGTTATATTCATACCGAAAAACGGGAGGCGTGATAAAACGCAGCCAAAAGCATTTAGGTCCATTAGTCTGTCATCAATTTTACTGAAGACTACGGAAAAAGTGTTGAATGACTTCATCAATTCAACTTACATGTTAACGCATCCAATATCTAATTTTCTGCTACTGCTCTCCATACTTTGGTAACTAAAATCGAAAAATCACTTTCAGTTAAAGAAATCGCACTTTGTTCTTTCTTGGATATTAAAGGAGCTTTTGACAACGCATCCTATTCTTCTATGGTTGACGCCATGAAGAAAAGCAACTTCGACACGCACATCGTCAACTCGATTCATACTATGCTTACAAAAAGAAAAGTCACTTCTGGGCTGGGAAGCTCATCTATAACAGTAAAGGCAACGTAAGGCTGTCCTCAAGGAGGAGTCTTCTCACCACCAATGTGGTCTTTAGTTGTAGATGATCTTCTAAGAAGCCTAGAGGTGAAAGGTTTCGAAGTTGTGGGCTTTGCGGATGATATAGTCATCGTAGTTAAAGGAAAGTTCGACACTATCATTTCAGAAAGAATGCAACAAGCTCTAAAGTTTCCTGATGAATGTGGGCGTCTTAGTGGAATACCTGTATAATGAGAGAGAGAAGGATTATTAACAGCGGAGTACCTGTTCCTATAGAAAATTAAATTTAAGTTTATCTAGTTTCTAAGTGAAAATGTACCTGTGTTAATATATATTCGGTAAATGCGATGTTTTTCTTCAGTCGAGTATTAGTACAAGACACTGAAGAAGTCTGCACATTGTAGACGAAATACGCGTATCTGTCAAGGATAAGCAAATAAAATAGTGGAATTAAATGGAAAATACTAATCCTTCTCTCTCTCACTCTAAAGTTTACCCAATTTTGGTGTATTAAGGAGGGCCTAAACATGAATCCGTCAAAAGTAGTAATCGTTCCTTTTACTAGAAAGAGGAAGTTCAACCTAAAGGAGTTTAAGCTTGGAGGAGAACAGATCCATCTTAGTGAACAGGTCAAATACCTAGGAGTTATATTGGATGCCAAGTTGAATTGGAATGCTCAGATTGATTCTGTGATCAACAAAGCAACCAGTGCCCTGTGATTATGCTCCAAAACTGTTGGTAGAAAATGGGGTTTGCAACCAACAATGACAATGTGGATTTACACATCAGTAATCCGTCCAAAAGTAACTTATGCTTCGTTAGTGTGGTGGACAAAAACAAAAGAGGCTACCGCACAGAGGAACCTGGCAAAATTACAACGTCTAGCATGTATTTCTATAACGGGTGCGATGTGCAGCACCCCATCTGTTCTCGATAGTCAGAACAAACACCGTCTTTTAGTTGCAAACTTAGCAGCTTCAAAGCTGTAATTTAATTGTTAACATTAGTGATGATACAAAGGTAAGTATAATACAATAATCTTACATTTTCAGTGTTCTTCTTCTTTTGCCAGGTCACCGTCTACCACGGATGGACAATTCCGGCACGATCTATAACCAACGGTAGGTATTTAGGTCCATTTTAGGTTAGGCAACAAGCTAGGTAAGTACTATTATTCTAATTTTAGGAACAACATACCTCAATTCTAATGAATGATCCACTTACTACGTGGAAAACCGCGAAATTATAAATACAAATCGAACTGTAATTACAATAAACGTTTTAAATCACAATTCTTCAATTATTAATCGCTAAACTTACAAGCTATTTCACCTCACTAGAATTCACTTCTTTATTTTTCCTCACAAAGAAACCAAAACAAACTTCTACAACTATATGCGTTTCTTTACATTCAATCTGTCATTCGCTTCGCCCGGCACTGGCGTTTCGCTCGCGAGGGTTCGGTCAGTTGGTTCACCCACAATTCGCCGCGTCGAGGGGTATCGGCGACATCCCCCAACCCGTGAACCACTTCCGTTTCCGGAGCGACTGCTTCCGTACTCCTGTCGTTGCTTGCCACGTCCAGAACCGCCAGCTTCACCGCAGGTCTAGCGAACACTCCTCTAGCTGTCTGTACCGTAGCACGCCTCACCTGCCCAGATTTGTCCGGAAAGGTCTCACAAATACGTCCTCGCTCCCAATGATTCTTCGAATTTTCGTCGACTATCACGACTAGATCGCCAGGTTCCAGCGGCTTCACTGCATCGAACCATTTCGTACGCCTCGTTAGCATCGGGAGATATTCTCGAACCCATCTGCGCCAGAATTCGTCCACGATGTGCTGCGCAAGCTTCCAGCTGTCTCGAAGGATGTTACCGTTCACAGGTTCGGTTGCTGGTTGCTTGATACCGGTTGACCCATACAGCAGAAAGTGGTTTGGCGTGAGTGCCTCTTCGTCTGCTGCCTCCAAGGGAACGTAGGTCAGCGGTCGCGAGTTGACGATCGCTTCAGCCTCCAACATGATCGTTTCCAACACCTCATCGCTTGGATGACGCGGACTATCCGATACTGCCTTCATCGCTACCTTTACGGACTTGACCATACGCTCCCATGGTCCTCCCATGTGCGGAGCCGCTGGAACGTTGAAATGCCACTGGGTGTTCGCGTTGGTGAATGTAGCAGCGCAGTCCTCGACGATGTCCTGGATCTTCTGCTTCTCTTCAGACAACTGGCGATTCGCTCCTACAAAGTTCGTGCCGTTATCGGAAAAGACTTCCAACGGTGCGCCCCGCCGGGCCACGAATCTCCTGAAGGCCATCACGCAGGAAGTCGTTGAAAGGCTGTGTGCCAGCTCCAGGTGAACCGCCCTCACTGTGAGACAGGTGAACAGGCAAATCCACCTCTTCGCCACGCTGCGTCCGACTTTGACTTCGAAAGGTCCCATATAATCGACACCGACGTAAGTAAACGGCCGAACGAATGGTGTCAACCGTACCTTTGGCAGTGGTCCCATCAGCGGTGGCACCGGAGCAGCTTTCAGCACTTTACAGTGTTGACAAGCTCTGCTGACTTTACGTACGAGAGTCCGAAGCTTCGGTATGTAGAACCCTTGCCGTAGTTCATTTAAGACTGTTTCTCCGTTGGTGTGAAGGAACCGCCGGTGGAAAGAATCCACCAGAAGGAAGGTGATACGATGATCCCTTGGCAATATTACGGGATACTTTGCCGTGTATGCAATGTGCGGTGCGTTTCCAATCCGACCTCCTACCCGAATGACTCCGTGATCATCGATGAATGGAATCAACGATTGCAGTGAGCTTTGTTTCCGAACGCTGCGACCCTTGCTCAGCTCGTGAAGCTCCTCCGAATACGCCTGCGCTTGGGCCTGTTGCCAAAGTGTCTCCTCCGCCTTCTCGAAATCCTCTTGGTCTGGACCTTGTCGCCATTGTGCATCACTCAGCGTGCGCTTCCAGAACCGTAGCGCCCTGTGAACGTAGGCCATCGTACGGACTAAACGATTCCAGCTTGAAAAACGTTCAGCATCAACTATCTCCACCGTCGTTTGGTGTACCGCTACCATTCGAAGTTCTTCGCTTGCCGCGTCTGCTTCGCTTACTTCTGCTGATTGCTTAGGCCACTGCCCTTTTGGATCTCGTAGAAACGATGGACCTTGAAACCAACGGTTTTCTGGATCAAACGATGGTCCCGAATTCCACTTGGTGGCGTCATCTGCCACGTTGAGCTTCGACGGTACGTAGTGCCATTCATCAACGCTGGTGAGCGAAAGAATCTCGCCCACCCGAAAAGCGACGAACTGGTGGTACCGACGGCTATCCGAGCGCAGCCACGCCAAAACTGTCGCTGAATCCGTCCAAAGGAACCGTTTTCGAATGTTGAGGGTTAGCGCCGAACACACGTTTTGCAATAAGCGGGATCCCATCATGGCAGCCTGAAGCTCCAAGCGTGGAATTGAGAAGTGGCGTAACTTTTGTTTTTGCTGCTACCAACGAACACCAGCTACCTCCGCTGAACATCATTCTCAGGTAAGCGACACGCACATGCCGCTACGCTTGCATCCGTGAACACGTGGACCTCGATTTCGTCCACCTCCTGTGGCAGAAGACTTCCGAAAAAGCAGCGCGGAACTTTCACCTCGTCGATCATCTCATACAGCTCGATCCATCTACTCCATAGTTCGTACAGTTGTTCTGCTATGGGCTCATCCCAGTCAGTACCCGTTCTCCAAATCTCTTGCATCAGGATTTTTCCCTGCACAACGAAGTGCGCCACGAATCCCAAAGGATCATACAGTTTCATCACGGTCCGCAGTACTTGCCTCTTCGTTGGAATCGGTCCGTTACTACCCAAGACTTCTTTGAGCCCTGTCTGATCGAAGGTGAAATGATCCGCTGAATGTACCCACACGACACCCAAGACGCGTTCGTAAATTTCATTCTTGTCGAGGCTCAGCGACTTGCTGGCTGTCGATCCAGTCTCCCCTAGACGATTGAGCACCTCCTGCGAGTTGGACAGGATTTTGCCGAATTCGAAAGCTGCTGCTGCGTGAATAAGCTGTACTTGGTTGACAAGCTGAACTGCTTCCTCCACCGAGTTGACACTGTCGAGGAAGTCATCTACGTAATGGTTGTTAATGATTGCGTTTGTTGCTCTGGGATACAGCTCCGCGTAGTCAAGAGCGTTTTTATTCTTAACGAACTGTGCTGTGCATGGTGAGCTGGTTGCTCCGAACATAGCGACGTTGATCACATAGACCTGCACTTCATCTTCCGGACTGCTACGCCATAGGAAGCACTGTGACCACTTATCCACCTCTCGAATGAGGATTCTCAAGAACATTTCGCGGATATCGGAGCAAACTGCGATTTTGCCTTCCCTGAATCGTAGCAAAACATCTACGAGCGATACGAGAAGGTCCGGCCCCTTGAGAAGCATGTCGTTGAATGAAACTCCACCAGCCTTCGCGGCGGCATCCCACACCATTCGAATTTTGTTGGGTTTCTTAGGATTGATCACCACCCCTAACGGAAGGTACCACACACGCTGAGGGTTCGCATTCGCAACCTCTTCCACTGTTACCTTGCGAACGTACTGCTTCTGCTCGTAACTCTCCATTTGCTCGTTCACCTTTCTACGCAACTCCGGATCCTTTGCCAACCGTTTTTCCAGTCCTCTCAACCTACTGATCGCCATTTGGTAGCTGCCCGGAAAGTTCACGTTGTCCTTTCTCCAAAGCAAACCCGCCTCTATACGAGTTCCTCTCCGTACCGTTGTCGCTTCCAGAATGCTGCGTGCTCGTTTGTCCTCCTCGGATTCGAGCTGCTGCATCAAAACGGCATCTTCTACTGCGAAGAACTTTCGCATCGAATCGTGTAATTCGCGGTTGCTAATGTCTTCACAGGCATGGATGTGCAGCTGCTCAACTGATCCTTCAGTTCCAGAATTCCTCCCGTATACGCACCAACCTAGACGAGTTTTGGTCGCAACTGGTTCGCTGCTGCTGCCTTCACGAGTCTTCAAGCTAGTGAGCAACCGTACGTGTTCCAGCCCGATGATCATGCCAGGCTTAGCGTTGACATAGCTAGCCACGGGAAGACCTTCAAGATACGGGAACGTATTCGACAGCTCTAAATAGTCCAACGTTTGACTTGGAAGCCCTAGCTCGCACACCGTTCGCACGTTGCCCAGTTGGAATGTTTCCTTCTTCCGAGCTCCGGATATCTTCACGCTTATTCTCTTGGAAGTCTTCTCCTGTCTACTGATCTTGCCGGTCCAACTCAGCCACAAGTTATCGGGTTCACCCTCTATGCCCAACTGTGCAGCGATTTCCTCCTCGAGTAGCGTCGATGATGATCCGTCATCCAGGAACACGAAAGTTTCAACTTGTTTCCCCTCTCCGTACAGCGTAACTGGCAAATAGCGGAACAGCGAAAAGGATTTCGTGTGGTGATGATTTTGATGAACAGTCTCGCCAGACCTTGGACCATCAGTAGTATCATTGCGGCTGCTGTGCAGCAGCATATGATGTCGAACTCGGCAACTATCCACTCCGCATTCCTTTTTCGAGCGACACGGCCATTTACGATGCGGTATCAAGCACAATCGGCACAAGTTCTTCTGCCGCATTGCCTTCCATCGGCCTCCGATGTCCAACTCTTTGAAACTGGAACAGTTCAGGATCTGATGACCATCTTTCTCACAATACGAACACGCTTTTGACGTACATTCGCCGCTTGCACTCTCCTTCTTCGATACGCTTGGCGACACGTTCGCGTGAGTGAAAAGCTTTTCCTTTTGCTTCGACTTTTCCACTTTTTGGTGTTTGTGGTAGTTTTGGGCGGATTCCACGTCGATGCTTAGCTCGGCAGCAAGGTTCACTAGTCCCGACATGAAGCTGTTGAATGTCGCTAGGTTGACGTTCGCTGACGATTGTTTGAACGTACCCCACTGCATCTTCAGCGAGGTGGGTAATTTGTCGACCAACTCTTGTAGCAGCATTGGATTTGATAAATGTGCTTGCTGATCAGCCAGGATGATATGATCGACGAGATTTTGAATCACCAACCCATACGCAACGATGGTGTTCAAGTTATCATACTTCGGCGGCGGAACGCTTCTCACCTTCTTCAGAAGAGAACTAATCAGGATCTCTGGCCTTCTGTATAGCTTATGCAACGTTTCCATCACGTACGGGACGGATGCTGGCAGGAGTAGACGACTTCTAACTGCCTCAAGTGCGGAACCTCCCAAGCTACGTTGCAATCTGGCCAGATTCTCGGCGTCCGTGTACCCGCAGACCTCCGTCGTGTTTTTGAAGGAACTGTAGAACATAGGCCATTCCTGGGGATCCCCGCTGAACTTCGGCAACTCGCGTGGCATTACTTGCCGAGCTGCCAATTGGGCACTGGTCGGTCCCAAACTGACTGGCGGAGGGTTCATATTCCCGTAGCACAACGATGTTGGTATTACCGAGGGCGGTATTTCCGGTCCTATGACGGGATATGGACAACTTGATGGTGGGTACGGAAACGGCACTGAGTATCCGGAGTAAACGTTCGAATAGTTTGGAGTCCCCGGTCCCAGACTTGCGGTGGTTGTAGTTGGTAACAACGGAGGATTTATGGGCATTGCTCCATTGGAAAAAGGAGGATACTGGAACGAACCAACCGTTGACGAAACAGGCGGATTCACGGAAACGAGAGGTACTGGTTGAAACGAAGTCGAAATCGGCAACTGTGGCAACGATGCGACTGTGGCAGCACCCAGATAATGTTGTGGATTTCTAATGAGGCCACTTGAACTATACGGTATCGACGGAATAACCCCGGCTGCACTCGAAAGCATGCCTTTCATTTCCGGGCACGAATAGACCGGTGCGAAGCCGTCACAGACGAGTGGAACGCCAGACCGAGTCGGTACAGTCGATACTATCGACGAAGTAAACGCCGGCGCCACGGCCACCGTAGTGACGAAACTTCCACCAGCTGTCACGACCGTCGTTAATGGAACAGCAGCAATCGTGGGTAGATGAGATGATGCGCTTCCTGGTATCGGTACGACATTCGACTCGTAAGACTTCGCCAGAGCGGTAACGTTCCCGCTGGGAACAGGAATGGTCGGATCCGGATAAAGTACTCCAAGATTCAACGAAACAAGGCTGCTTGAAGTTGAATGCATTGGTAATGGTACCACGATCCCGGGATTTTCCTTGCTAACAGCTGGGACTGACAGGGTAGCTTTCTGTCCAGACGTTGTGGGCTTCGACTGTCCAACTCCGTCCAGTTGGGCTCCCTTTTTAAGCCATTTTTCCAGCTGTTCGCGCCTACTTTTCACACTGACTCCGCTTCTCCTACGTGAAGAATCCTTCTCTTCTCCAATCTGCATCATCAACTCGTATTTCTGCCTCAAGTACTCCTGTTCTTCGTCGATTTCCTTCAGCTTGGCCTCTTCTTCCAGTTTACGGATCCTCTTTTCTTCTTCCGCACGTTTCTTCCTCAGCTTCCGTTCATCCTCAAGGAGTTGAAGGCTGAGCTGCAATCTCTGCGAAACTCGACTGCTCTTACTGACGGACGACTCGTTGAATGATACACCCGACTTCGATGCACCACCCTCCCAGTCTGTCAGGCAATTGTTGCACTTGAAACTTCTTTCCGGCTGCGCAATAGACTCGCTGACACCCGCGCACTGAAAGTGTATCCACGATTCGCACACATCGCAACACACCATATCATCATCGGTATCCGCACGATTGCACTTTTTGCAATGCTTTTCATTGCTAACCGAAGTCACACTGTTTGCGTCCGACATTTCGAGATCGACCTAAATTAACCTGACAACCGTCTCTAGTGAAGCTTGACGACTAACTCTAATGCTAACGACGATACTCACAACCGACGAAGGTGACAGAATCAAAAAAGGCACTGACTTTATTATGCTACAGTTTCGATGTCGGTCCGCAATCGATGCGAATTGTCGTTGTTGTTGTTGTTGGTCGTCTTCAACGGTGGGTCGTCTCGCTGTCTCGCTGCTGTGAAATGTCCTTCCCGATGGGCAACAAGCAATCATCCAGCTCTGGATGAAAATCTTTGAAGGATGTTCTCGATAGTCAGAACAAACACCGTCTTTTAGTTGCAAACTTAGCAGCTTCAAAGCTGTAATTTAATTGTTAACATTAGTGATGATACAAAGGTAAGTATAATACAATAATCTTACATTTTCAGTGTTCTTCTTCTTTTTCCAGGTCACCGTCTACCACGGATGGACAATTCCGGCACGATCTATAACCAACGGTAGGTATTTAGGTCCATTTTAGGTTAGGCAACAAGCTAGGTAAGTACTATTATTCTAATTTTAGGAACAACATACCTCAATTCTAATGAATGATCCACTTACTACGTGGAAAACCGCGAAATTATAAATACA